GATTTTGAAGGCGTTGGGTCAAGTTTTGGGAACTGAAAAGGGAAAACAGATGAGGGACAACGTCGCCGTTCTCCGGGAGTTGGCGCATAACGCCGCCGCACCCACCGGAAGTTCTTCTCGGAATTTCGGTCGTTTGGTGGAGATCGTGACCAAATCAATTTAGGATCTTCTGAATTCTCTCCTCAATAAACTGCTAAATGGTTGGATGGATTTTTTTTTTCCTTCTTTTTTCGGTTGCTTTCTGTTGTAATTGGTTTTAGCGTGGCTGTTAATTATTGTTCTCTGTATTAATCTCACAGTAGCTTTAGTCTGAGTATAGGTGTTTTTTCCTCGATTAATGTGATTGCTAGAAGCTGATCCAATTTCCTAAAATATGCTTCGATTCCCACAACTACAAGAACCGACGGCAATCTTCAATTGCCTTTTCAATTTTCTCTCAAAATGGCGTTTCGTTTTGCGCGCTATATAAATGAAAGATCATCTACTCTTTCCCCATGGTCTGTAAACGAAATTATTGATATCGAATCGAAAAGAGGAAGAACGCGGAATGAATTTGGCAGATGTTCAAATAGGGTTGAAGATGGTGGCGGTTTGTTCTCTGGTAGCGGCCGCAATTGCATCTGGTGGCCATGGTGTTGCCGATTCTGGCTCCGGTGACTGTGGTTGCATCAGTTGTTTCCATAATCGGATTTTTTTTAAAAATAATGTTTTTTAAAAAACAAATCACACAAATAATGTAGATTTGAAAGTATTTTCAAAAGTAGGGTAGAGGTAAATCGCGTTTAATGGCTGCGATTTTAGGCCGAAATCGCAGTCAATGACTGCGATTTTGTGAAAGTCGCAGTCATTGGCCGCGACTTCAGTGTGACATGGCTTTAAGGATGCCACGTGTTGGGTGTCACAATCGCACCTTTTCAAAGCAGCTTGAGCGATTGTGCGGCACTTGTTCTAGCTCAAACAAGCAAGTCAGTCGGGAAAAACTGTAAGTTGCGGACAATCTCGGTCGTGGGTCTAGCCTCCGCTCACGTTTTAGGAGAAAATTGGTTTTAGAAAAC